TGATTATTTAGTTTAGTCTGTATTTGGTGCAAATGGAGGGAGCCGATGGAAGTCCAGATGCTGTCAATGCTTTGGAGAATTCACACGATCCATCACACACTCATTTTCATTTTTCGTATCGTAGCATATTGTTCTTTACGCATGCCCGAGTAATGAGCTCAAATATCTGGGAAGTGGATTGAAAGTGTGTGTGTGTGTGTGGTGTGTGTGTGTGTGTGTGTGTGTGTGTGGTGTGTGTGTGTGTGTGTGTGTGTGTGTGTGTGTGTGTGTGTGTGTGTGTGTGTGTTGTGTGTGTGTGTGTGTGTGTGTGCGTGTGCGTGTGCGTGTGCGTGTGTGTGTGTTTTGGTTTGTTTTGATGTATGATTTTCTGTTCGTCGACAGGTTGTGTTTGGGCTTGTATTTGTCCCAGAACATGGGTTAGAGGTTCCTGTTCACACCCTCTTGTTAAAAAGGACATAGTCTGCTGATGTTCAGGTTCATTCTAGTATGTAGTGTAACTACTTTAAAGAGTCCTCTCCTGCTGATGTTCAGGCGTATATCAGTATGTAGTGTATCTACTTTAAAGAGTCCTCTCCTGCTGATGTTCAGGTGTATATCAGTATGTAGTGTCTCTACTTTAAAGAGTCCTCTCCTACTGATGTTCAGGTGTATATCAGTATGTAGTGTCTCTACTTTAAAGAGTCCTCTCCTACTGATGTTCAGGTGTATATCAGTATGTAGTGTCTCTACTTTAAAGAGTCCTCTCCTGATGATGTTCAGGTGTATATCAGTATGTAGTGTCTCTACTTTAAAGAGTCCTCTCCTGCTGATGTTCAGGTGTATATCAGTATGTAGTGTCTCTACTTTAAAGAGTCCTCTCCTGCTGATGTTCAGGTGTATATCAGTATGTAGTGCCTCTACTTTAAAGAGTCCTCTCCTGCTGATGTTCAGGTGTATATCAGTATGTAGTGTCTCTACTTTAAAGAGTCCTCTCCTGCTGATGTTCAGGTGTATATCAGTATGTAGTGTCTCTACTTTAAAGAGTCCTCTCCTGCTGATGTTCAGGTGTATATCAGTATGTAGTGCCTCTACTTTAAAGAGTCCTCTCCTGCTGATGTTCAGGTGTATATCAGTATGTAGTGTCTCTACTTTAAAGAGTCCTCTCCTGCTGATGTTCAGGTGTATATCAGTATGTAGTGTCTCTACTTTAAAGAGTCCTCTCCTGCTGATGTTCAGGTGTATATCAGTATGTAGTGTCTCTACTGGGACATGTCTCCATGCTTTAATGTTCAAAAAGCTCTTTATTTTCCTCATACTTCCTGTGCTGCAGCACCTCTTTTCACCCTCTGTCTGAAACCAGAGCCCAGTCTGCTCTGATTGGTTAGAATAAAATGACAGCTGTAGGCACTTTTTATCCCACTGCACATGTTAAAGTGTCCTACATAGATGTATATGACAGATATCACACAGTATTCACAATCACAAACGTCTTTTTGTTCCTCAAGGACAATTCATACTTTGAAAAAATGGGTTAAAGTATTTCAGCACACTCATTTTGCAGAAAGCTCATCTTGCACCAGCTCTGATTTGCTGCAGTCTTGGCTTTATGACAACAAAATCACGCCTTAATCTCTTTTATTTATTATTATTCTGTCTTCAGCCCACCAGTGGAAGCACCGAGCAGCCAGAGAGAGAGAAAGAAACCCTGCACCACATTTCATTTGTAAATGTGTCTTTTTAACGTCCTGACTCTAATTTTCTCCAGCCTGATATGTCCATGCAGTAGATTGGTATTTCTAACGTTCTTTTTGAACTAGACATACTATGCAAGCTTTGAAGAAGAGCCTCTGCTAGTTTTGAGGAGGAAAACCCCACTCCATGAGAGGCTTTTCTCAGTATGGCTTACATTAACAGTACTCACTGAGATACTACACGAACCGTTCAGTTCCCTGGAAGTGAAGTCAAGTGCACTTTATCTGATTTGTCATAATGTATGTTGAGTCAAGACTTGTTCAACACAGAGAGCCCCTGGGCGTGCCGTAAAAACGTTCTCCTTCAATAACCCCACGGTACAAAATCATTACTAGCAGGATTACAGTGTTAGTAAAACTAAAAAGAGCACATAGTGTTTGTTGTAAAAGGATCAGATGTTATCTCTTCTCTGTCAGCTGTTCTGTTCTGTAGGATAATACTGTAAGTGTGAATCTATTCTTCTACTTTCTGAATCTGCTTTATGGTTTCCACTTTCTTTGCTTCATTTGTTCTGTTTTTCATTCAGCAGGTGAACCTATATGCTCATAAAACAGTGTGTGTGAGCTTCACTGTGTGTATTAAACTAAAACGGAGCATTTCCTGTCAGCTCAGATTTTATTCCTGTGTTTCATTGTTAGGCTACTGCCTGAATATGAAAGGTAGACAAAATCATTTCTGATCCTAAATATCTTGGTTTCTTCTCTTCTAAGGTCACAAACACCTCCATTGTTTACTTCCAGAACATACGTGTTCAAAGAATCACGCAATCGCACCATAAGATGTGCTCATAAGGTTCTTGGAAATAAGATTCAGCATGAAAAAGCAGGAAAACTGACTCATCAACTAAAGAAGTCTTAGTCTTACAAATCATTCATAATCATTACAAATCAGTAGACGAATCGTCAAAGAGAGGTCAGCCATGATGAAACCTCTTGAAGCTTTCCTTGTTTTCCTCCATCCTGTTTCATCTCTCTCCGACTCTAATGGACCTGATGGCCTCATCAATAAAACACTCCAACATCCGTCTGCTTCAGCAGCTTCAGACAACAATGAACAGCTTCTCCATGCTGCTGAGTGTGTGTGTGTGTGTGTGTGTGTGTGCGTGCGTGCGTGCGTGCGTGCGTGTGTGCGTGTGTGTGTGTGTGTGTGTGTGTGTGTGTGGACACATCTGTTTGTATCAGCCTAACAACACCCTCTCTTGCCTCTTCTGTAGATCTGCAGTGGGTCATTGGTTCATCTAACAAGAGCACAACAAAGGTAAGAGGATCTGTACTGTCGAGTGTGTGTGTGTGTGTGTGTGTGTGTGTGTGTGTGTGTGTGTGTGTGTGTGTGTGTGTGTGTGTGTGTGTGTGTGTGTGTGTGTGTGTGTGTGTGTGTGTGTGTGTGTGTGTGTGTGTGTGTGTGTTTGTTGCATCTGCATGATACAGCACTACGATGTTGGCACTGCAGAAAAACCTGTTTTAAAAATGAATGACCGTTGGGTTTTCTTAATGTTGGAGTGTTGTAAAAGACACTAAACTACTATGGCATTCACCAGCCCCCACAGAGCAAAGGGGTGGAGCCTTTTAGCCTCTTTAAAGCGCTTTGTTTTGATTTCACAGCCTACAACATCACTTGGAAATGACCTGCTGCATAATATTTAGCAGAAAGGTATACGGTGGCCGACAGATACAAACATGCTGCAACGGTACAAAACATTTCCATAAGGAGAAACATGCTGCAGTTTCAGAAAGCATGCAGATAAAAAAACACAAATGTTCCACATGAAGAAACATCTTCAGCAACTTGACAGCACATGCAGCACTTAGAGAACATTCAGCAACTTGAGGAGACATGCGCAGCGTTTACTAAAAGCTGCAGAAACCAAACGCTGCAAGAAGCTCAAAACACAACGGAGACCAGGGGACACTAAAGAGTGACGCACACAGCTGGGAGACCAGGGGACACTAAAGAGTGACGCACACAGCTGGGAGACCAGGGGACACTAAAGAGTGACACTCACAGCTGGGAGACCAGGGGACACTAAAGAGTGACGCACACAGCTGGGAGACCAGGGGACACTAAAGAGTGACGCACACACCTGGGAGACCAGGGGACACTAAAGAGTGACGCATACAGCTGGGAGACCAGGGGACACTAAAGAGTGACGCACACAGCTGGGAGACCAGGGGACACTAAAGAGTGACGCACACAGCTGGGAGATCAGGGGACACTAAAGAGTGACGCACACAGCTGGGAGACCAGGGGACACTAAAGAGTGACGCACACAGCTGGGACCAGTACCAACATTATGGATTAATTCCAGTAAGATTCTGAATTCTGAGTAATTTTTCAATTTGATATTGCTACTTTTAATTGAGTAAAATGACTGAGTAATGAAGGTGTCATATCTCAGGAGTGGAAAAGGTACTCATTAAGTGTTATCATAATTTATCAGTAAGATGTACTTTGTGTATCAAGAGTAAAAGTATGTAGAATGGCTCTTCTATACAGGTTTTTATCAGTAGCAAATACATGTCAAATCATTGTAATGTTGTAGTTTGTCAATGTAGAGCCAACTTTACATATGTTTTGAAATACTGTGCATATTAAAAAAAATACAGTGTTGCATCCCTTCATGTGTTTTTATATGTACACTTTGAATAGTACAATATTAGCCTCTGAAATGTAGTGGAGTAGAAGTATAAAGTAGCTTTAAATTTAAATACTCAAGTACTTTTTTGACGTGTGTGTACTTTACTTAAGTACAACAAGACTCGAGTAAATGTACTCCACCACTGCCAAAATGTTGAATTACTTTGAGTAACATTTTGAATGCAGGACTTGAACTTGTAACAGAGTATTCCTACACTCTGTTACTTCTACTTTTACTCAAGTAGCCTACAATATATACTCAAAGATATTGAAGTGACTGTTATTTTGTTGATTGTTGTGCTTTTATTTAGGTCTTAATGTGTGCATATGTATAAATGTGTATTTTCATTGTGTATTATATATTTGCATACATATTTTTATATATATTTGTTTTTGTATTCGGGATTGTGGGAAACGTCATTTCGATCTCTCTGTCTGTACAACACACTGAAATATTGACAATAAAGTTGACTTTGACTTGACTTTGAGATCTGAGTACTTCTACTTTTACTTGAGTAACACTTTGAATGCAGGACTCTTACATGTAACAGAGTATTCCTACACTCTGGTACTTCTACTTTCACTTGACTAAAACTTCAGAGTAGGCTACTCCTTGTGGTCTCACAACATCTCACCCAGTTCTCGAAGTGCTTGCTCCCGCTGTGCAGGATGTCTTCAAACTGGATGATGCAGTTCGCCACGAAGTCGTCGCATCCGATCGGCGCGTCGTGGAACACGGAGAGCTCGAGCCTCCGGCCCTCGTGCACCTCCGTGCAGAACTCATGGTTCCAGTTCGGGCTGTTGGTCTTCTGCTTGGTGGAGGTCTGCCCCACGCGGGAATCATCCACGTTCAGGGCGATGTACGTGTCCAGGAGGAAGCTCTGGGTCTTCGGGCCGACGGCGTGACGCAGAGACCAGGCCGTGGGCTTCAGATCCAGAGCCTCGCGGATCCGGATCTTCAGCTGCCCGTTGAAGATCACCATGGCAGAGGATCTCCAAAAACACTACTGCTTACAACTTGTTTACAGTGGAAACACACCCAGGGTTATCCAGAAAAAACACTGTGGCAGCAATCCTTACAGTGCAGTAATTACGCAGTAAAATCCACATTTGCAAACATGTTTTCATCAGAAAGCGTTTTGACCGGTGCTCCTCTTGGAATACAACGCAGAAAAATCCAAATATACCTCCTCCAAAAACTGTTTTTAATCAGAGTTAGCGTTTAGACCGGTGGTCCTGCAGGCAGAAATCCTTCCAGTGGAATACAAACGGAGAGAAATCCACATTTAAAACTTGTTTTCCTCAGAGTTAGCGTCTTGCACTCCCCTTACACTTGTCAAAAAATGCTGCAAATATCCCAAACAAATGATCTGCAGCAACAGATAACCAGGGGCAACATTTCTCAGACGTGCACAGCCACAACAACAAACGCGCAAAAGGCCCCAGATGTGTATCCTTGTTAAAAAACACTGCAGCAACGGGACTCCCTGGAAGAATTAAGCCCGGGTTTCATCGCACCGTGTGCCGGGTTTTGAGGCTCCAGAGGACCGGTGCGTATGGGGTGTTTCAGCGGGACTGCAGCGAGCAGAGAGCCGCAGAGGAGGGGCGGATCACGGGGATGTAAAGGGAGGTTCCTGGTCCTCGGTGCACGGCCTGGTTTCAGCCACTGCCGTGCTGATGTTGACTTCCCGTGGACAGACCTCTGGATGCCTCCCCCCCGGAACGAGACTGCTGTCTCCGGCTCTCTTGCTGCAGGAAATGCGAAAAACGCGTCAGATTTCTGGGAGGCTGCAGCTGTGACAGACGAGGAGGGGAGGGGGGTGGATGTAGCAGGAGATAAATAAAAGAGATTTATATCCAACCTTTAGCAAGCTACCATCAGTTTAACATCTGTAAACAGCAGAGGTGGGAAGTAACTAAGTAGATTTACTCAAGCAGCCTACGTAATTACAATTTTGAGGTAGGCTACTTTGTACTTTACTTGAGTATTTCCATTGTCTGCTACTTTGTACTTCTACTCCACTACAGTTCAGAGGAAGCCTAGATGGTGTACTTTTTCTCCACTACATGTATTTAATACACCTTTAGTTACTTTACAGATGCGTCAGATTTCTGGGAGGCTGCAGCTGTGACAGACGGGGGAGGGGGGGGGGGGGGGGGGGGATATCAGGAGATACATAAAAGAGATTTAGATGCAACCTTTAGCAAGCTACCATCAGTTTACAATCTGTAAACAACAGAGGTGGGAAGTAACTAAGTACATTTAGTCAAGTATTTAAGTACAATGTTATGCCACTGCTCACTGTCAGAGTCGTTTCTTTTAACAATGACCACAATATTTGTCATGCTCAATATATCCTGTTGAACCTGATGCAAGCTTTGTTTTTACATTGGAGACATGTTGGCTTACAATCATATTAGCAGAGGTGGGAAGTGCTCAAGTACTGTACTTCAGTACAATGTTGAGACACGTTACTTGAGTATTTCCATTGAACTGCTACGTTGTACTTTCCCTCCACTACATGTATTTAATACCTTTAGTTACTTGACAGATGTGGATGAATGATGTGAAATATAATCAAGTGTTAAATCAGACTTTAGTTCCACCTGGAGTAAATTCACAAGCTACCCTGCAGTATACAAAGTCATTCAAACTAGCTGCACCTTTACCAGCTTTGAGAACACTTTCATGATCAATCATTATAAAACATATCATATACATTATTCTGAAATGGACCAATCTGCACAATGACTACTTTTACTGTCACTACTTTCACTATATTTCTACTTTTACTTGAGTAACTTTTTGGATACAGGACTGAGTACTTCTCCCGCTTCTGGTAAACAGTAACAGCTACCTCTTTAATTTGATTTGGTCACTTTTAAAAGATATAGATATATATACTGCTACTGAGTTTTTTTTTTTTTACTATGGTGTACTTGTCTGCTATTAGTTTGTTTACCTATTGTGTTTCTTTTAATACTGTTTCTGTTCTGATTTTATGTAAAGTGTCTTTGAGCATTAGGAAAAGCGCTATCAAAATCCCATGTATTATTATTATTATTAATATTAATACCTACTTTGTTTTTATTTTTTCATTTTTAAATATGTAAGCCTATTCTCTTTGCATTATCTGCACTATACTTCTTCTGTTGTAACAATGTAAATGTCTTCCCTTATGGGACAAATAAAGGAATTCTGATTCTGATTCTAGAAGCTCTGCAGAGTTTAAGACCTGTGGAAAAAGCAGGAGGTTAAAACCGTGGTGGCTGTCCCTCCTGGCTCCCGGCTCAACCTCCACTCACCTGCTGCAATCAGCTGTGCACCCTCCCCGACTAGACCAACACACTCTCACTCCCTAAGCGTCCAGGAGCGACGCTTGGTCAGGGTCCCGTGGCGTCCAGTTGTGACGCGCCGAGGCTCCTTCAGCTTCATAAACGGACGCAAAGAGCTTTCAACTGATTGCAATGTATTCCCATCGGCGTCGGTATTTGACGCTTAGGGAAGCACGGCATTCGTTTGTGACGGAGGCTGTTAAAGGCAATGTGAGCGTCCATTCCCATTGGATAACGGAGAATTGTACACCCGGAAGTAAGTATTCCCCTTACTGTCGATTGATTTGACAGTGATATGTCCACTACTCATCAACTCAAAAACACCAGATTACTGTATCCTTGTTAATTAAACGACATTGATAGGTTTTAGTGTGTGTACAATGCTTTTGTCACGTTTTCCCCTTCAATTCTGAGAAACAAGTCGTTTTCTATGAGTTTTGGATGGCCGAAGACATTACATTACCCACAATCCTCTGGAGCAACCATAGACTGTATAAAACAATTAAATAATACATTATTCCGAGTGTGCTTGCTTTTCTCTTTGAAAGTCATCACATAACGGCATTGTAATACACGTTTCGGCTGCATTAAATATGACATATCTGCCGTAGTTAACTCTATTTATAGAGCCCTGATGACAAGACTTCTAGACAAACAGGAACTGCCGCCAAAACTGAAAACTTGACGTGGATCTTAAATATATAAGCAATTAAACAACATCTTACATTTTCTTACTTTTCATTAATTGCATAACTACACCGTAGTTGTGTATAATATGATATGTCAATAAACCTTAGAAAATCTTGAAATCTTGAAAGGGATGTGCAAAATAGTCATTATATACAGTCTTTAATGTCAATAAACCTTAGAAAATCTTGAAATCTTGAATGGGATGTGCAAAATAGTCATTATATACAGTCTTTAATTAACTATTAGTAGAGAATAACGACGAGTAAAGAATATACTTTATAGGGATCCTATTAATATCTAATAATACAATTATAAAATGCAATAACGTGCTTTAACCAGTAGGTGTCCCTTTCTATCAGCTGTGCACCGTTATGGTGTAAATACAGCCTATCTACCAATTGGATCAAATATAAAAGTCAGCCGAATTAGTGTTGATACTGCAAGGAGACGTATTGTGTGAAAAGAAATGTAAGATGTTGTTTAATTGCTTATATATTTAAGATCCACGTCAAGTTTTCAGTTTTGGCGGCAGTTCCTGTTTGTCTAGAAGTCTTGTCATCAGGGCTCTATACATAGAGTTAACTACGGCAGATATGTCATATTTAATGCAGCCGAAACGTGTATTACAATGCCGTTATGTGATGACTTTCAAAGAGAAAAGCAAGCACACTCGGAATAATGTATTATTTAATTGTTTTATACAGTCTATGGTTGCTCCAGAGGATTGTGGGTAATGTCATGTCTTCGGCCATCCAAAACTCATAGAAAACGACTTGTTTCTCAGAATTGAAGGGCAAAACGTGACAAAAGCATTGTACACACACTAAAACCTATCAATGTCGTTTAATTAACAAGGATACAGTAATCTGGTGTTTTTGAGTTGATGAGTAGTGGAGATATCACTGTCAAATCAATCGACAGTAAGGGGAATACTTACTTCCGGGTGTACAATTCTCCGTTATCCAATGGGAATGGACGCTCACATTGCCTTTAACAGCCTCCGACACAAACGAATGCCGTGCTTCCCTAAGCGTCAAATACCGACGCCGATGGGAATACATTGCAATCAGTTGAAAGCTCTTTGCGTCCGTTTATGAAGCTGAAGGAGCCTCGGCGCGTCACAACTGGACGCCACGGGACCCTGACCAAGCGTCGCTCCTGGACGCTTAGGGAGTGAGAGTGTGACTAGACACCTGCTTCCCATCAAGCCATCAACAACAGCTTATCAACCGACGCTCCCCAACCATTCTCCGCCAGACCGTTGTACAACCACTGTGGTATAACCTCAAGGCCACTTAGCGTGTATATTGTCTCCTACCGTGACGTTATAGCGTCTAACGTGTTTGTTTTCTTGTGCTCCAGGACCATTCTCCAACCGCCGTGATCCCGTCACCAGTCGCCACGTCCCCGCACCTCGTCCACTAAATAAACCCTTTTTGTGAAAACACTCTGCCGTGTCCTGCGTTTGGGTCCACTCTGATTCCGTAACAGTACGATCTGGAGTCGACCGGTTGCATGTGAGGGCGGGGAATGATGGGGGGCATCATCATGCAATAGCCCAGTCCTGGGAAGCCAGCAAATACTCCTGGATCGTGCTGATCAGAGGACGGCCCAGCTGTTAGCCCGAATGTTTCCAGTGGGCACACACCTCCCGTCTTTCGTGTCATCCTGGTGTCCATCGCACATTGTTTATACTCAGACAGCGGTTCTGGTGGCCTTCCATGGCTCAAGACACCAGGGCCTTTGTTGCTGCTGTACAGTATGTGCCCGCGCCAAGTCCTCCCACCAACCTCCCGCTGGCCTGCTTCGCCCGCTGCCGGTACCTAGTCGCCCTTGGTCGCATGTGGCCTTGGATTTTGTTACTGGACTTCCACTCTCACAAGGTAATACCATAATCCTAACTATTGTGGACAGATTTTCCAAGATTCCCACAGCCCGAGAGACTGCGGATCTTCTGGTCAACCATGTTGTTCGACACCATGGGATCCCCACAGACATCGTTTCTGACCGGGGTCCCCAGTTCATTTCCCACGTTTGGAAGGCTTTCTGTCAGGCTCTGGGAGCATCGGTGAGTCTGTCGTCTGGTTATCATCCTCAGACAAACGGGCAAACGGAGCGGGCCAACCAGGACCTGGGAGCGGCTCTTCGCTGTGTGGCTTTCAGGAACCCTTCTTCATGGTGCTCACATCTGCCATGGATCGAGTATGCCCACAACTCCCTGTCAAATGCAGCCACAGGTATTTCACCTTTTCATTGTGCCATGGGTTTTCAGCTAGCCCTGTTTCCAGCCCGTGAAGAGGAAGTTGCTGTTCCTTCCGTTCAAACTCACCTTCGTCGCTGTCGCAAGGTGTACACCCGAGCCGCCCTGCTCCACTCTGTTGCCCGCAACCGCCTCATCGCAGACCGTCACAGGACCCCGGCCCCCAACTACTTACCAGGTCAGAGTGTTTGGCTTTCCTCCAAATAACTCCCTCAAGACAGTCTAAAAAAACTCACACCACGTTATGTTGGCCCTTTCATCATTGACTTTGTTATAAATCCATCTGCAGTCAAGCTCATCCCCCCCACACATGAAGATTCATCCCACATTTCATGTTTCTCATGTTTCTCAGTTAAAGCCTGTTGCCAGAAGCCCCTTGTCTCCTCCAGTGAATATTCCATCACTGGAGATCGATGATCACCCAGCCCACACCGTCAGGCGGTTGTTGGACGTACGTCGCCGTGGCAGGGGATTCCAATATCTTGTGGATTGGGA